TCAAGTCTGCCTTAACCACTCCTATTTACTCACAGATTACAAACCCTTTTCTCTCCTTTCACTTCCATCCTTGGCCTCTCATTTTTCCATGTCACCCTCTGACCCCCTGACACACTCCACTATCAGTTCAACTGTCATCACTGTCAGTACTTAAATCAAATCCTCTACCAGCTCTGATGACATCCCTTCTGTTCACAGAATTAAAAATATTAATAAAAGCATATATTGTGTTCATTCTTTATTTTAAACAGGGAATATAATACTACATTATTTTAATGTAGTATTATTAATTTTCAATTTCCTATGACTGTATACAGATACGAGCTACATTTATAATCATTTTCATTAACAATGTAACATAAATATGAATGTGCCCAACTTGTTATAAACAAGAAGTTTAGAACATCCTACGGTTACTACAAACATAACTAGATAATTCTGGAAAGTTACATAAGCTTGTTTTTAGGTGGCTATTCCGCCAATTTTTATTTGTATTTTTTTGCTGTCTGTGCACTTGTCACTAAATCTGCATATCTGAGTAATAAAAGTGAGAAAATCCATGGGATTGGGTACAAGATTGCATGCGAAAAGCATGTCAGTGGTCTGATTTAGTGATTCAATTATTAATTATGATCAAATAAAAAGTTACATATTTCAAGCCAACATCTACCAAAGTCTGTCTAAACACTGAAAATGTAGGTGGATTCAAATATAGTTCATAAGTAGCATATTTGTCCATTAAAAAGCACTTGTGACAAAGTACCGTGAAAAAGGCCCCAGACTCGAAAATGATTTTGGGACATGCCAGCTGGTTTTTAGTTGGTCTAAAATGATCATTAGTTGGTAAACCTTCTTGGACCACCAACAAACTAGGTGGTCAGGCTGATTTTTGGAAAATGGTGACTGGTTACAAACCAGCTAGACCAGCTTTATAACTTAACTAGGTTTTCCAGCACAGACAGATAAAAACAAATTCAGCAGAACATGTTTGCTGATCAGCTGATGCCTGAGACACGCACTTATCTCATATCTCTTCCCCTGAGGTCACTTTGTTTTCTTCTGCCATTCTTTCAGGAAGGTGTTTCTATATTTCTCAGTCTGATAGTAATCAGAGTCAATGGGTCCTGGAGAGTCATTTAAGGTGAGGAACACATCTTCATTAGACACTGTCACTGTGTGGACTCTTTGCTTAATGCCTTTAGAGCACCAGGTTGGTTTCAGGGGCTTCACAGAAGGGTCCACTGCCTGATAGAGACCCTCACCTTCAGCTAATGTAATTTTATATTTATGCCACGGGCACACTATGCATGTCCGTCCATCAAAGTCCTTCATTGGCAAAAGAGAAAATTGAAAGTTAAAGCAAATTTGTGGTATTCAATATAAATAAGAAAAAAATTGCCTAATGAAAGTATTCAGAGCAACCCACCTCTATATCTCCTTCCTGAAGTGGACCTCCAGAGTCTTCAACCAAATTAAAGCATAAAAAAGCACAACAGTGTTATTTAAACATAGTGTTTAAAGGGGTCATATGATGCTTTTTTTAAAGATCATTATTT